AACTCAGGGTTGCCAGATCCAAATTGCTAAAAGTAGCGAGCTGACGGTCAAAAAGTAGCGAATTTGCAAGTAGAGTAGCCCAATTTTTTGTTTAGTCAAATCGAATCAAATCAAATGTTTATTCAGGTAAAAGTACATACATACAAGATGAGTTACAAACATAATGTTAGATTTCTAGATAGCGACAGTACATACAGACAGACAGACGACAATCAAATTTAGTAAGTTTATCTTCCTTCTTTGATAGAACAGACTTGATGCTCATCTGCTGATGACTTACCTCCGATATATTTTGTCTGTGTTTTAATGTTTCACTGTTTCTTTAAACCACTTCTATGAGCTCTTATCTCAGTTCTACAATATTTACAATATGCCTTATTTCCATCTTCTTTCACTTCAGCCAACCACTTTTCAAACACGGGAATCTGAAACGCTTTCTGGTATTTAGACCATTTCCCCATTTGTCACTTCTTTATCTTAACACTTCAGCAAATTCTAAAAGTAACAGCGGTAACTTCTTTTCTATATGCGGTAACTTGTATCGAACTATCCTTCTGGAGGTCAGAGCCACACTAACAATGCAAGGACAGATGAAGCTGCCAGGTTCACTGTATGCTAATCCGCTCTAACGACAGTCATTTGATTCTTGGAAACACCTAAAGAGAAACCTAATATTTACAGTAGGCAACAGTGGGAGGTCACTTAACATAGACAGTACCCGGGATGAAGTATTAATGACAATTAAGGTTGGGAAATCTATAGCCCCTGGGGAGGATTATCTTTGCGGTTACTTTTTCTTTGGGAAGTTCCTAGGATCAACGTCCCCAGGGGGTCGGTCGCTGACCTGGCCTCCTGCGGTAAGTGGTCAGTTCAATCAAGCTGTTCTACGCGGCTGTGATTTGTACACATGACATTATAAAAAGCATAAAAATCATCATTGAGTTTCTTAACATTAATAGCCCAACTTGTTTTTCAAGTTAGTTTAGTTCATTTATTATGCACCCCATACCCATCTTGTGGGCGGAAAGTAGCCCAAAAAGTCGCAAGTAGCGAAATTAAAAATTTGGGAGCGCGGAGCTCTGAAAAGTAGGCCAATTCGCTACTTGTAGCCCAATCTGGGGGGGGGGGTCAGGCCGCTGGCCTGCGGTGGGGGTGCAGCGCCGGTCCCCAAGTGTCCCGCTGTCCGCAGCTAATAAATAAATAAATAAATAAATAAATAAATAAATAAATAAATGTTTATTTAGGTAAGGTACATACATAAAGAGATTTTACAAAGTTTGTTGGGTTAATAGATAGAGCTAGTACATACAATGCCTAAAGCCACTATTACGCAAAGCGTTTCGGGCAGGAAAAACATTAATGACTAAAGCTTAAAACTAATGGGTAAAAAGAATAAAATGTGTTGAGAACAAATAAAAATAGAGGTAAAAGAGGGGGAAACATGGTTGAAAAAGCAGCACAAATACAATTACAAATTATTACAGAAAATTACATTCAAACAGCGTTGTTTTGAAAAAAAAAAAAACATACATGGGTTGACAACAGAGGGGTAAGGAAGGTTACAGGGAATTTATTAGGTAGTGCTTCGTTTTTATCTTAAACTGGTTGAGAGAGGTACTGTCTTTAACATGGTTGGGAAGGTCATTCCACATTCTGGGTCCCTTGATTTGAAGAGCATTTCTAGTATGATTAAGTCGTACTCTAGGAATATCAAACCTGTATTTATTTCTGGTGTGGTGCTCATGGGTTCTGTTACAACCTTCAATGAATCTTTTGAGGTCAGGATTGGCATTACAGTTCAGCGTTTTATATATTGTTTAATACACATGAGAGAATGTGCAATGACTTAATACTTTGCCCAGTCTAGGTGCTAGTAAGCCCTACTTTTAGTCAGGAACCCCTTCTCCTTATTCATTAGGTCTTTACGGCCTCTTGGTCGGGTTCATTATGTGTTGTGTGGTCTCTCACTTGTTTATTTATTTATTTATTTATTTATTTATGCATATACAAGAATGTACATAAGGAATGTGAGGATACAAATATGGTAATTACAGTCTTGTAAAGCCACTAGTACGCGCAGCGTTTCGAGCAGGTCCTTAATCTAAGAAAATTTTAAGGAGGTAAATACTTGCAAAATTTATAGACAAAAAAATGACAAGTTACATAGAATGAAAAAAAGAAGATGAGAGAAAATTGTAGGTACAGTATATTAAAGCACATAGGTAGCTAAGATTGATTGCAATGACAGCTTGAATGGTAGTTGACAAAAATTGGTAGGCACAATACAGCAGAAACAATATAAGATTGATTGCAATGACAGTTTGAATGGTAGTTGACAAAAATTGGTAGTCACAATACAGCATATGGCTAGCACATAAAAGAAGACAGCAATGAACACAATGATAAGGTTGTTTGATACTACATAAAAATTAGGAGATTGGTTAACACTAGGTACAGAGCAAATTTAAAGCTCAGTGTAGGAAACTAAGAAGATGAAATTAGGTACTTTTTGGTTTTGCTTTTAAATAAGGCAAAAGTTTTACAGTTTTTCAATTCACTAGGGAGTGAGTTCCATAGACTAGGTCCCTTAATTTGCATAGAGTGTTTACACGGATTAAGCTTGACCCTGGGGATATCAAAGAGATATTTATTTCTGGTGTGGTAATAATGGGTCCTATTACATCTGTCCAGGGAGAGTTTCAGAGCATGGTTTGCATTTAAGAACAGGGTTTTGTAAATGTAGTTGACACAAGAGAATGTGTGGAGGGAGTTAATATTTAGCAAGTTTAGGGATTTAAACAAGGGAGCTGAGTGTTGTCTGAAAGCAGAGTTAGTTATTATTCTGATAGCAGATTTTTGCTGTGTGATGATGGGCTTAAGGTGGTTTGCAGTGGTAGACCCCCATGCACAGATACCATAATTAAGATAGGGGTAGATTAGTGCATAATATAGTGAGAGGAGAGCAGAGTTAGGAACATAATATCTGATTTTGGAGAGTATACCAACTGTCTTAGAGACTTTCTTAGTTATGTGTTGAATGTGGGTGCTGAAGTGGAGTCTCTTGTCTAGGAATAGGCCAAGAAACTTGCCATCATTTTTATTACTAATGTTAATGTTGTCTATCTGTAGCTGAATTGCATTTGATGATTTGCTTCCAAATAAGATGTAGTAAGTCTTTTCGATGTTTAATGTTAGTTTGTTCGTTGACATCCACAAGTGGACTTTTTTTAATTCATTATTCACAACATTATTTAGTGTATGTGGGTTGAGGTTTGAATAGATAAGGGTAGTATCGTCAGCAAACAATATAGGTTTGAGAATATTAGAGACATTAGGCAGATCGTTTATATATATAAGAAATAGAAGAGGTCCTAAGATACTGCCCTGTGGCACTCCAACGGTAATTGGTAGAGTGGAAGAAGTTGTATCATTGATGGTTACATATTGGTGTCTGTCACTAAGATAGGATCGGATGTAGTCAAGGGCAAGGCCTCGGATTCCATAATGCTGGAGTTTAAGTAAGAGGTAGTTGTGATTAACAGTATCAAAGGCTTTTCTTAGGTATTGTTAGTTACTCTTTGTGTCCTGCCTGTTATATCCTAGTGTTATATAATTACTACACATTTGCCCACGGCCTTAATTCTAGTACCAGTTAAGCTATTAGGTTTCTGCAGAATTCGTTTACCATGTCACTAGGGTAAGCTTATCTCATACTTACTACGGGTGTACCTTTTAAGTTAAATACTAGTCCTCGGACTTGGAATTGTTACTTTTGTTAATTCTTACTTTATATATCTACATGTTCTGCAGAATTTATTTTATCAATAAAATTTAAGCCCCATACTGTCAGTGTCTTTCTCCCCTGATCAGAAATTCGTCTTGGATACAAATATCCATGGAGATTAAAAGGTATTAGTAGGAGAAAGCACTAAGCCATTACGACTATATAGCACTGATATCCATGGAGAATGAGATTCGGAATGGAAACAACAGATGAGCTTCTGTTTCATGGCGGTATCATCCACTCACAGGATGAGTGGCGCTGCCCAATAAACTCGCCCCTCGGGTCAAAATTAAATTAGAGTAATGTACAATTGTAGGGACAGGAGTAAATATTTATGCTGTAAATATAATATTTATGTAAATATTGCATTTATGTTCTCATGTTCTTTATGTATTGTAAATATGAGGAACATGTTATACTTCAATCAAGTTTTAGGCCTGTTTTACCCTGTCGTCTTTAAGTTGGTATTCCTTTCCCAAGGGATACTGAGCATCCGCAGTGTTGACAGCTTGTCTGGACGAGGTAGACGCTCAAATGTAGATAACTCAACACATTATTAAGCGCTCCTAGAGGGTTGTTACAGAACCCATGGGCACCACACTAGAAATAAATATCAATTTGATATTTCAAGAGTGCGACTTAACCAAACTAGAAACACTATGCAAATCAAGGGTCCCAAAATGTGGAATGACCTTCCCAATCACGTCAAAGACTGCCCGCTCTCTCAATTAGTTTAAGAGAAAAACTAAGTACTACCTACTCAACTCCATGTAACCTGTTTTACCTCCAAAATGTCAACCTAAGTTTTGCTATTATCAAACATTAATGATTGACTTGTAAAACTGCTGATATCGGCCATGTATAAACTTAGAAGATTGTAGTTCGTTTGTTTATTTATTCTAAATTACTTTGTACTCCTCTGTTGCATTGCTGCTGCTAACTCAACATGTAATTATTGTCATTCTTTCTTCTACTTCAGTTTAATTCATGCTTTTGATCTCAATTAGTCATTAAGTCTTACTTTTTAAGTTTTTTTTCCCACATATTGCCCGAAACGCTGTGCGTATTGGAGGCTTAAGGCATAGTATATATTAACTCTCTTTAAATCCAACATTCTGCTTGTAACTCTATATGTATGTAACTTTACCTAATTAAACTAATTTATTTTATTTATTGTTTATCAGCATTTATCGACTGGAAGGAAATAAATCAATACTTTAGTAAATATTTTAATATATCATTTTATATTTATAATTAAAAGCTATTTTAGAATGGTATAAGTAGAAGAGGAGATACACGATGACATTAGTGTTTGTGACTTGGTTCCCTGCAGGCTCCTCGGGTCCTCGTGGGCGTGGACACACACAGGACACCTGGTGGTGGGCGTGGACACACACAGGACACCTGGTGGTGGGCGTGGACACACACAGGACACCTGGTGGTGGGCGTGGACACTAGTGTTGTTGACAGTGTACACCCTCTTGGCTGTGACATCATTACTGGCGACTGTACACCCTCTTGGCTGTGATGTCACCAAGAACTACCGTCTGAAATGAGAGAAGAGTACAGTGTGGTGATCGTGGGCGGGGTGACGGTGTACAGTGAAGTTCTCCCTGCACCTAGTGGGGTCCCAGGTACCTATACTCTGAGGTGCAACATTAGGATACTGTTGAGGCTTTAACATGTGCTGACACAAAGGCTTACGGGATGATTAAGAGCAAAATGTTCTCAAATGTTAGTAAGTGAAGGGGAATGTTACGAAATAATATTGAAATGTTTCAAACATAAATATAAAACATAAGTACACACACACACACACACACACACACACACACACACACACACACACACACACACACACACACACACACACACACACACACACACACACACTGTATGTCTAGGGGTCTGGTAGCTGAGTGGACAGCGCGCGGGACTCGTAATCATGTCAACCGGAACGCCGGCAGAGACAAATGGGCAGAGTTTCTTTCACCCAGATGCCCTTGTTACCTAGCAGTAAATAGGTACCTGGGAGTTAGACAGCTGTTATGGGCTGCTTCCTGGGGTGTGTGTACTTACCTAGTTGTGCTTGCGGGGGTCGAGCTCCGACTCTTTGGTCCCGCCTCTCAACTGTCAATCAACTAATGTACAGGTTCCTGAGCCTACTGGGCTCTATCATATCTACACTTGAAGCTGTGTATGGAGTCAACCTCCACCACATCACTTCCTAATGCATTCCATTTGTCTACTACTCTGACACTGAAAAAATTCTTTCTAATGTCTCATTTGGGCACTCAATTTCCACCTGTGTCCCCTAGTGCGTGTGCTCCCGGTGTTAAATAGTCTGTCTCTATCTACCCTATCAATTCCTCTGAGAATCTTGTATGTGGTGATCATGTCCCCCTAACTTGTCTCCCAGTGACGTGAGGTTTAATTCCGTGTGTGTGTGTGTGTGTGTGTGTGTGTGTGTGTGTGTGTGTGTGTGTGTAAAAAATAGTAATTAGTAACAGTTGATTGATTAACAGTTGAGAGGCGGACCGAAAGAGCAGACCTCAACCCCCGCAAGCACAACTAGGTGAATAGACACCCATTACAAAGATAGAGAAGAATACAAAGAGAGAGAAGGAAGAGGTGGTGGTGGTGGTGTAGCTCTGCTGGTAAGAAAAGGCTGGGATTTTGAGGAGATGGTTATTCAGGGCTGTGAAGGTTTCAGTGACTACATAACAGGTACCATAACAAGTGGAGGACAAAAAATTATAGTCGTAGTCATATATAATCCACCACCAAATGACAGAAGACCTAGACAGGAATATGATAGAAACAACATAGCCACCATTAACATAATAGAGAGAGCAGCTTCTGTTGCTAATAGGAATGGATCTGGACTACTAATTATGGGAGACTTCAACCATGGGAAGATAGATTGGGAGAACAGAGACCCGCATGGAGGACCAGAAACATGGAGAGCTAAGCTGCTGGACGTGGCAACAAGAAACTTTCTAAGCCAGCACATCAAAGAACCAACGAGAATGAGAGGAGAAGATGAACCAGCTATGCTCGATCTGATATTTACTCTAAATGAGTGGGATATAAGGGAAGATAAGATGAAAGCACCCTTGGGAATGAGTGACCACAGTGTATTGAACTTTGAGTACCTGGTAGAACTAGGAATTATCTTCCCCCCAAAAGAACATGGAAACAAAAGACTAGCATACCGAAAAGGGAATTATGAGATGAGAAGTTTCCTAAGGGAAATACCTTGGGACACAGACCTCAGAGCTAAGTCTGTACAAGATATGATGGACTATGTCATCTAAAAGTGTCAGGGGGCAGTAAACAGGTTCATCCCGGCCCAAAGGGAAAAATCCGAGAACCAACAGTAGAATCCATGGTATAATAGGGCATGTATGGAAGCAAAGGTACTGAACAAAAGGGCGTGGAGGAACTTCCGGAATAACAGAACACCAGAAAGCAGAGAGAGAGATACCAGAGAACCAGGAAAGAGTATGTTAGGATGAGAAGAGAACCAGAGAAAAGTTATAAAAATGATATAGCAAACAAAGCCAAGACCGAACCAAAGCTACTCCACAGTCACATCAGGAGGAAAACAACAGTGAAAGAACAGGTAATGAAACTTAAAGCAGGCGAGGACAGGTATACAGAGAATGACAAAGAGGTGTGTGAAGAACTCAACAAGAGGTTCCAGGAGGTCTTCACAATAGAACAAGGTGTGAGAACAAGGACAAGGTGTGAACAGGGTGTGAACACAATAGAACAAGGTGAGGTCACTGTGCTAGGAGAAAGGGAAGTAGACCAGGCGGCCTTGGAAGGGTTCGAAATTACGAGAGAGGAGATCAAGAGACACCTGCTGGATCTGGATGTTAGAAAGGCTGTTGGTCCAGACGGGATCTCGCCATGGGTACTGAAAGAGTGTGCAGAGGCACTTTGCTTGCCACTCTCCATAGTGTATAGTAGGTCACTGGAGACGGGAGACCTACCAGAAATATGGAAGACGGCGAATGTGGTCCCAATATACAAAAAGGGTGACAGGCCAGTGTCCTTGACTTGTATACCATGCAAGGTGATTAAGAAGAGCATGAGAGAAAACCTGGTAGCACATCTGGAGAGAAGGGACTTCCTGACAAATCGCCAACATGGGTTCAGGGAGGGTAAATCTTGCCTTACTGGCTTAATAGAATTCTACGACCAGGTGACAAAGATTAACCAAGAAAGAGAAGGCTGGGCGGACTGCATTTTCTTGGATTGTCGGAAAGCCTTTGACACAGTACCGCATAAGAGGCTGGTACATAAGCTGGAGAGACAGGCAGGTGTAGCTGGTAAGGTGCTCCAGTGGATAAGGGAGTACCTGAGCAATAGGAAGCAGAGAGTTACGGTGAGGGGTGAGACCTCCGATTGGCGTGAAGTCACCAATGGAGTCCCACAGGGCTCTGTACTCGGTCCTATCTTGTTTCTGATATATGTAAATGATCTCTCGAAGGGTATAGATTCATTTCTCTCAATGTTTGCTGACGATGCCAAAATTATGAGAAGGATTAAGACAGAGGACTGCTTGAGGCTTCAAGAAGACCTAGATAAGCTGAAGGAATGGTCGAATAAATGGTTGTTAGAGTTTAACCCAAGCAAATGTAATGTAATGAAGATAGGTGTAGGGAGCACGAGGCCAGATACAAGGTATCACCTGGGAGATGAAATTCTTCAAGAGCCAAAGAGAGAGAAAAAGACTTGGGGGTTGATATCACGCCAGACCTGTCCCCTGCAGCCCATATCAAGAGGATAACATCAGCGGCATATGCCAGGCTGGCCAACATAAGAACTGCATTTAGAAATTTGTGTAAGGAATCATTCAGAACTTTGTATACCACATATGTCAGGCCAATCTTGGAGTATGCAGCCCCAGCATGGAGTCCATATCTAGTCAAGAATAAGACTAAACTGGAAAAGGTTCAAAGGTTTGCCACCAGACTAGTACCCGAGCTGAGAGGTATGGGCTATGAGGAGAGACTACGGGAATTAAACTTCACTTCGCTGGAAGACAGAAAAGTTAGGGGAGAAATGATCACCACATTCAAGATTTTCAAGGGAATTGATAGGGTAGATAAAGACAGGCTATTTAACACCAGGGGCACACGCACTATGGGACACAGGTGGAAACTGAGTTCCCAAATGAGCCACAGAGATATTAGAAAGAACTTTTTCAGTGTCAGAGTGGTTGACAAATGGAATGCATTAGGCAGTGATGTGGTGGAGGCTGACTCCATACACAGTTTTAAGTGTAGATATGATAGAGCCCAGTAGGCTCAGGAACCTGTACACCTGTTGATTGACGGTTGAGAGGCAGGACCAAAGAGACAGAACTCAACCCCCGCAAGCACAACTAGGTGAGTACACACACACACACACAGACACACACACACACACACACACACACACACACACACACCTACCTGTGTGGCACCAGAGGCAGTAAACTCGACCAGAGCGGTGCCAGACTTGTCTCCCAAGTTCCAGGTGCCCTCCAGCTTGGACCCGGACAACGACAAGTTCACCTGTAGGAGGACAACACCAGGAGACATGCTCAGCCACAGTGGCACTCTTCACGCGGCTACCTGTCCCCGCGGGCTGGGGGCGTCAGTGCCCACGGTCTGGGGGCGTCAGTGGCCACGGTCTGGGGGCGTCAGTGGCCGCGGGCTGGGGGCGTCAGTGCCCACGGTCTGGGGGCGTCAGTGCCCACGGTCTGAGGGTGTCAGTGCCCGCGGGCTGGGGGCGTCAGTGCCCACGGTCTGGGGGCGTCAGTGGCCACGGTCTGGGGGCGTCAGTGGCCGCGGGCTGGGGGCGTCAGTGCCCACGGTCTGGGGGCGTCAGTGCCCACGGTCTGGGGGCGTCAGTGCCCACGGTCTGGGGGCGTCAGTGGCCACGGTCTGGGGGCGTCAGTGACCGCGGGCTGGGGGCGTCAGTGCCCACGGTCTGGGGGCGTCAGTGCCCACGGCCTGGGGGCGTCAGTGCCCACGGTCTGGGGGCGTCAGTGGCCACGGTCTGGGGGCGTCAGTGCCCGCGGTCTGGGGACGTCAGTGCCTGCGGGCTGGGGGCGTCAGTGGCCACGGTCTGGGGGCGTCAGTGCCCGCGGTCTGGGGGCGTCAGTGGCCACTGTCTGGGGGCGTCAGTGGCCACGGTCTGGGGGCGTCAGTGGCCACGGTCTGGGGGCGTCAGTGCCCGCGGGCTGGGGGCGTCAGTGGCCACGGTCTGGGGGCGTCAGTGCCCGCGGTCTGGGGGCGTCAGTGCCCACGGGCTGGGGGCGTCAGTGTCCACTGTCTGGGGGGCGTCAGTGGCCACTGTCTGGGGGCGTCAGTGGCCACTGTCTGGGGGCGTCAGTGGCCACTGTCTGGGGGCGTCAGTGGCCACTGTCTGGGGGCGTCAGTGGCCACTGTCTGGGGGCGTCAGTGGCCACTGTCTGGGGGGCGACAGTGGCCGCTGTCTGGGGGGCGTCAGTGGCCACTGTCTGGGGGGCGACAGTGGCCGCTGTCTGGGGGCGTCAGTGGCTACTGTCTGGGGGGCGTCAGTGGCCACTGTCTGGGGGGCGTCAGTGGCCACGGTCTGGGGGCGTCAGTGGCCGCTGTCTGGGGGCGTCAGTGGCCACTGTCTGGGGGGCGACAGTGGCCGCTGTCTGGGGGCGTCAGTGGCCACTGTCTGGGGGGCGTCAGTGGCCGCTGTCTGGGGGGCGTCAGTGGCCGCTGTCTGGGGGCGTCAGTGGCCACTGTCTGGGGGTCGTCAGTGGCCGCTGTCTGGGGGGCGTCAGTGGCCACGGTCTGGGGGCGTCAGTGGCCACGGTCTGGGGGCGTCAGTGGCCACGGTCTGGGGGCGTCAGTGGCCACGGTCTGGGGGCGTCAGTGGCCACGGTCTGGGGGCGTCAGTGGCCGCTGTCTGGGGGGCGTCAGTGGCCACGGTCTGGGGGCGTCAGTGGCCACGGTCTGGGGGCGTCAGTAGCCACGGTCTGGGGGCGTCAGTGGCCACGGTCTGGGGGCGTCAGTGGCCACGGTCTGGGGGCGTCAGTGCCCACGGTCTGGGGGCGTCAGTGCCCACGGGCTGGGGCGTCAGTGGCCACGGGCAACATTGCATTATCTAGCTAACTGGCACTATGCATCTAATGTGCTACTGTTTATTCTCTTTAAATTGACTTGCAGTACCGCTCTAGCTACTGAGTTATGTTATAGACTTCGTGTTATAGTAACTTTGGCATCGATTATATTATGGTACTGCAGTTATTATCTTTACACTATTTAATGAATAAGTCCCCCCATACTGGCTTGCGTTTTTCTCCCCGCTCAGAAACTAAGAGTTAAGAACATAACACATTACTAACAACATATTCGATGCCGCCAGGAAGTTCAGCCTTGGAGTCCTTGCCCAGATTGATGGTGTTGGTGAAGCTCTTGTCCCCGGCCTCCGTCTTCACCACCACCTCTGACCCGGTCACGCTCACCACCACCTTGGGCTTCACGGCCACCATCCTGGTCACTCTCTCCGCCGGAACACCTGCAGCGGGACACCACAAATCCTCACATAAGACTACACATATGTCACCCCACACCGGACCTGACTACACATGCGGATGAACTTCCCCCTTAAGGTGTTAGTGTGCCCAACAGTTACGGTCTCCAGGTCACTCACCCAGGGCGGTCAGCCATTCCAAATAATTCTCGTTTGATGTGAGGACGTAAGTGCCGGCGACGGACATGGCGGTGGTGTAGGAGACGGTGTTGTGACGGAGGGGTGACGGGTGACTGAGGCCCGGGGCCCGCCTCGCCGCCCTTATGTACTCTCCCGGACCCGCCGCCTCGCCCCGCCGCCCGCCACTTCCATCTTTATCGCTGCTTTCGCGCACTTAGTAACTGCCAAAGTTTACAAACGCACATAACAACTTGAAGTAAGTTAATAAGCAGCAAATTAATACACATATATACACATTATATATATATATATATATATATATATATATATATATATAAGAGAGAGAGAGAGAGAGAGAGAGAGAGAGAGAGAGAGAGAGAGAGAGAGAGAGAGAGAGAGAGAGAGAGAGAGAGAGAGAGAGAGAGAGAGAGAGAGAGAGAGAGAGAGAGAGAGAGAGAGAGACACACACACACACAGACTACTATGGCTACTAAAGTTCAACCCGAGTAAATGTAAGGTAATGAAACTAGGTGGTGGACACAGGATACAGAATAGGAGATGAAATACTTCATGAAACGGTCAGAGAGAAAGATCTAGGAGTTGATATCACACCAAACCTGTCTCCTGAAGCCCACATAAAAAGAATAATATCTGCGGAGTATGCAAGGCTGGTTAACATCAGAACAGCCTGCAGAAACCAGTGCAAGGAATCATTCAAAACCAATCTTGGAGTATACAATCCCAGCATGGAGCCCGTACCTTGTCAAGCACAAGTAAGTATTTATCAAAGAAGGTACCAAGCCGGGAAGGCTATGTAGCAAGCACAAGATGAAGCTGGAAAAAAGTTCAGAGGTATACCACTAGAACTAAGAGGCATGAGTTAAGAGGAAAGGCTGCGTGAAATGCACCTCACGACACTGGAAGACAGAAGAGTAAGGGGAGACATGATCACTACTTACAAAATTCTCAGAGGAATTTACAGGGTAGATAAAGATAAACTTCTTAATACGGGTGGTATGAGAATAATGGGACACAGGTGGAGACTGAATACCCAAATGATCCACATGGACGTTAGAAAGAACTTTTTCAGAGTAGTTAACAGGTGAAATGCATTAGGCAGTGATGTGGTGGAGGCTGACTCCATACACAGTTTCAAATGTAGATATGATAGAGCCCAGTAGGCTCAGGAATCTTTACACCAGTTGATTGACAGTTGAGAGGCGGGACCAAAGAGCCAGAGCTCAACTCCGCAAGCACAACTAGGTGAGTACAGACAGACAGACACACACATACACATACATACACACACACACATACATACACACAAGGCCCACAGGGGGCCGGTGGCTGAGCGGACAGCACGCTGGACGTATGATCCTGTGGTCCCGGGTTCAATTCCGGGCGCCGGCGAGAAACAATTAATGGGCAGAGTTTCTTTCACCCTAATGCCCCTGTTACCTACCAGTAAATAGGTACCTGGGAGTTAGTCAGCTGTCACGGGCTGCTTCCTGGTGTGTGTGTGGTGGGGAAAAAAATATATAGTTAGTAACAATTGATTGACAGTTGAGAGGTGGGCCGAAAGAGCAGAGCTCAACCCCCGCAAGCCTAACTAGGTGAGTACACACACACACACACACACACACACACACACACACACACACACACACACACACACGAGTATGAGGGTTGGTGCAGGCGTGTGTCCCTGAGTCACGTGCCCCCCTCCCCCTGGTAAAGGAGGAATCCCCCAGGCACTCTTGACCCTCGCACTGTGACCGTCGGGCGCCGCCACGCCGCCACCGGCACTCAACCTTCACCACCACAGCCAATTAGAGAAACAGTGTAGATATTACGGCAGCTGTGTGACAGGGCCGCCAGCCAATGGCAGCGCGGGTGTTTATCAGGACGCGTCCAGCGGCCGCCAGAGGCTCTCATTGTTCTCTGGATGAGTTTATTGTCTCACCCAACACCCGCCATCTTGCTGTAATGTGTAATGGCAACACGGGCCACTGTACCTGGGTCAGGGTGTATTGATACGGGTCACTGTACCTGGGTCAGGGTGTATTGATACGGGTCACTGTACCTGGGGTCAGGGTGTATTGATACGGGTCACTGTACCTGGGGTCAGGGTGTACTGACACGGGTCACTGTACCTGGGTCAGGGTGTACTGACACGGGTCACTGTACCTGGGTCAGGGTGTACTGACACGGGTCACTGTACCTGGGTCAGGGTATACCGGCACGGGTCACTGTACCTGGGGTCAGGGTGTACTGACACGGGTCACTGTACCTGGGTCAGGGTGTACTGACACGGGTCACTGTACCTGGGTCAGGGTGTACTGACACGGGTCACTGTACCTGGGTCAGGGTATACCGACACGGGTCACTGTACCTGGGGTCAGGGTGTACTGACACGGGTCACTGTACCTGGGTCAGGGTGTACTGACACGGGTCACTGTACCTGGGTCAGGGTGTACTGACACGGGTCACTGTACCTGGGGTCAGGGTGTACTGACACGGGCCACTGTACCTGGGTCAGGGTGTACTGACACGGGTCACTGTACCTGGGTCAGGGTGTACTGACACGGGCCACTGTACCTGGGTCGGGGTGTATTGATACGGGTCACTGTACCTGGGTCAGGGTGTACTGACACGGGTCACTGTACCTCGGTAAGGGTGTACTGACACGGGCCAGTGTACCTGGGGTCAGGGTGTACTGACACGGGCCACTGTACCTGGGGTCAGGGTGTACTGACACGGGCCACTGTACCTGGGTCAGGGTGTACTGACACGGGCCACTGTACCTGGGTCAGGGTGTACTGACACGGGCCACTGTACCTGGGTCAGGGTGTACTGACACGGGCCACTGTACCTGGGTCAGGGTGTACTGACACGGGCCACTGTACCTGGGTCAGGGTGTACTGACACGGGCCACTGTACCTGGGTCAGGGTGTACTGACACGGGCCACTGTACCTGGGGTCAGGGTGTACTGACACGGGCCACTGTACCTGGGTCAGGGTGTACTGACACGGGTCACTGTACCTGGGTCAGGGTGTACTGACACGGGTCACTGTACCTGGGGTCAGGGTGTACTGACACGGGTCACTGTACCTGGGGTCAGGGTGTACTGACACGGGCCACTGTACCTGGGTCAGGGTGTACTGACACGGGGTCAGGGTGTGTACTGACTGTACCTGGGTCAGGGTGTACTGACACGGGCCACTGTACCTGGGTCAGGGTGTACTGACACGGGCCACTGTACCTGGGGTCAGGGTGTACTGACACGGGCCACTGTACCTGGGTCAGGGTGTACTGACACGGGCCACTGTACCTGGGTCAGGGTGTACTGACACGGGCCACTGTACCTGGGTCAGGGTGTACTGACACGGGCCACTGTACCTGGGTCAGGGTGTACTGACACGGGCCACTGTACCTGGGTCAGGGTGTACTGACACGGGCCACTGTACCTGGGTCAGGGTGTACTGACACGGGCCACTGTACCTGGGTCAGGGTGTACTGACACGGGCCACTGTACCTGGGTCAGGGTGTACTGACACGGGCCACTGTACCTGGGTCAGGGTGTACTGACACGGGCCACTGTACCTGGGTCAGGGTGTACTGACACGGGCCACTGTACCTGGGTCAGGGTGTACTGACACGGGCCACTGTACCTGGGTCAGGGTGTACTGACACGGGCCACTGTACCTGGGTCAGGGTGTACTGACACGGGCCACTGTACCTGGGTCAGGGTGTACTGACACGGGCCACTGTACCTGGGTCAGGGTGTACTGACACGGGCCACTGTACCTGGGTCAGGGTGTACTGACACGGGCCACTGTACCTGGGTCAGGGTGTACTGACACGGGCCACTGTACCTGGGTCAGGGTGTACTGACACGGGCCACTGTACCTGGGTCAGGGTGTACTGACACGGGCCACTGTACCTGGGTCAGGGTGTACTGACACGGGCCACTGTACCTGGGTCAGGGTGTACTGACACGGGCCACTGTACCTGGGTCAGGGTGTACTGACACGGGCCACTGTACCTGGGTCAGGGTGTACTGACACGGGCCACTGTACCTGGGTCAGGGTGTACTGACACGGGCCACTGTACCTGGGTCAGGGTGTACTGACACGGGCCACTGTACCTGGGTCAGGGTGTACTGACACGGGCCACTGTACCTGGGTCAGGGTGTACTGACACGGGCCACTGTACCTGGGTCAGGGTGTACTGACACGGGTCACTGTACCTGGGTCAGGGTGTACTGACACGGGACACTGTACCTGGGTCAGGGTGTACTGACACGGGCCACTGTACCTGGGTCAGGGTGTACTGACACGGGCCACTGTACCTGGGTCAGGGTGTACTGACACGGGCCACTGTACCTGGGTCAGGGTGTACTGACACGGGTCACTGTACCTGGGGTCAGGGTGTACTGACACGGGCCACTGTACCTGGGTCAGGGTGTACTGACACGGGTCACTGTACCTGGGTCAGGGTGTACTGACACGGGCCACTGTACCTGGGTCAGGGTGTACTGACACGGGCCACTGTACCTGGGTCAGGGTGTACTGACACGGGTCACTGTACCTGGGTCAGGGTGTACTGACACGGGCCACTGTACCTGGGTCAGGGTGTACTGACACGGGCCACTGTACCTGGGTCAGGGTGTACTGACACGGGCCACTGTACCTGGGTCAGGGTGTACTGACACGGGCCACTGTACCTGGGTCAGGGTGTACTGACACGGGCCACTGTACCTGGGTCAGGGTGTACTGACACGGGCCACTGTACCTGGGGTCAGGGTGTACTGACACGGGCCACTGTACCTGGGGTCAGGGTGTACTGACACGGGCCACTGTACCTGGGGTCAGGGTGTACTGACACGGGCCACTGTACCTGGGTCAGGGTGTACTGACACGGGCCACTGTACCTGGGTCAGGGTGTACTGACACGGGCCACTGTACCTGGGTCAGGGTGTACTGACACGGGCCACTGTACCTGGGTCAGGGTGTACTGACACGGGCCACTGTACCTGGGTCAGGGTGTACTGACACGGGCCACTGTACCTGGGTCAGGGTGTACTGACACGGGCCACTGTACCTGGGTCAGGGTGTACTGACACGGGCCACTGTACCTGGGGTCAGGGTATACTGACAC